TTAATCAAACACATCCTTACTCCATCAGCTGCAGAGCTGGGCTACCCGCCCGGCTCGCCAGAGCAGCGGGCTACCAGAGAGGACGAGCATCCTTGCCCCATGCAGGGAAAGCCCAGCCGAGCTGCGCAGGGCACCCGTCCTCAGCCCCGGCACCCACCTACACCTACCGGTCCTTAAATGCCGTTATCGTGTAAGCTGCTTTTCAACTATGGAGGTAATAAAGTCACACCATTTGGATGCCTGACTAGCCGTAATCCGTCCCCCCTCCCCGAGCCGTGCGCCTGCCACGGCAGCTCTTGCGGGGGCTATGCAGCGTTATCGCAGGGCCGGGTGTGACATGCTGCCCCGAAATTAGACAGATCAATTGAGCACAGAAGGTGCCGCAGAGGCGACCGTCTGAGCGGTGGAATCAGCCTTTCCCCCATCCTCCCCCCCCCAAAAAAAGTCTTGAGGTAAAACATCAGCTTAGAGTAATGAGGTGACACAAAGCAGCTTTATTCCTTTTGGACCGCAGCGCAGAGAGGCCTCACTTTCCACTACAGTATTCTCTAATGGAAAACTAGGAACTTTTTTGTTTTTTTTCTTTTTTTTTAAAATGTTAATGCCAAAAGTTTGTTAGCCAAAGCAGAAGAATACATCGCACCTAAAGCAAAATGAGCAGGACATCTTTATAAAAAGCATACAAATTTGGCATAAAAATATTAATAAAGAAAACCTGGTAAGATCAGATCAACAGCTTTTGCAAATGATTCCCCCAAAGCCTGACCTAGTTCTTGTAGCCCAAGAATGTGTCTTTATTTTTGTCTGTAACCTGCTTTAAAAAAAAGTACATCATCTTTTTAAAAATTCCACGTGCTCGGCTGCCAAAAAAATAGAATTGGCTGAACACTGATGGCAGAACTCCAGTGTAAATGCCCATCTCTCCCTAGAAGAATGCACCTTGGTGTGGAGTGGGAATGACGGATCTCCTGCTCCATGCATTCCTGGATTCCTTTTAGTCTCAGCCACTTGGAAAAGAAAGCAGTAGCAGTAACTCAGGAGAAGAGGAGGATATCATGATTGTTTTTTTCCATAGTAGATAACCCTTAGAGTGTATTATAAAGTGTATAAACTGGCAGGATTTAGCCAGCGTAAGATAATATTGACTTGAAAACTACACAGATGGACTAAAATGGCTAAGGGAAAGGTTGAGATGCTGATCCAAGTGAAAATGTCATCGCAGTGTGGGGTGTTTCAGAATTCAGGGTTCCCTTCAGCATCAGTACGGAGTAGGACTGCGCCACAAAAGCCTGGATCCAGATCTGGAAACTGCAGAGGCCCTGTCAGCTTATCTTGAAGGGATGCTAATCAGAAGCAGCTTCTGCAGCTACAGAGTGTAACAAAAATGCTGCTACTATTTTATTGAAAGTTTATGGTTATTATGTCACCCCTAATTACAACCCCCAGAAGCTAAGCGTGAATCATTCTCAACCTTAAATCCCAAACATGTGGACTGAATTTTCTTTCCTCTTTCTGCTTTCTAGCAAGGTTGCTATCTGTGTCACACTAAGCAGGAGAGGAAAATAAACCCTGAAGCCCAAAGAAACCTCACTTCCCTCTCCCGTGAAAAACGATCGCTGTGTACAGTAACCAAGTCCTCTGACCCTTGCAGGTCAGGGCTGAAGGTTCAAACTGCTCCAAATACAGGAACTGACTTTAAGACCTAAGGGACTTGGGTATATCCAGCAAATAAGTAACACAAAAACTCCAAGTACTTCAATCAGACTTCTCAACGAGGAGTCCTGCTAAGGAAACTTTTTATATTAGCTCCCCAAGCTAAGGAAACTTTTTATATTAGCTCCCCAAACATGTAGCTTGTTCACAAGGAGAAGGCTCTGAGTACCAGATACACTGAAGCTTTGAGCTATTAACGACATATGGATATTTATGTGGACAATGTGGCTATTTATGTCACCAAGAGTTTACACAGATAAGCTGGGGATGGAAGAAGAGAAGTCTTCTTCAAAGATTTTGGGGAGAGGGAGAGAGGGAGTGGGACACACACAGACCTAAGGCGACAACGCGAGTGCAAAAAAATTAAAGAGTTGAATTTGAAGTTGATGAACAATACATATACGGATGGGTGCCGCATCACATTTTCTAAAGAATAAGAGGTATAAGATGATGCATGTATGCTGACCAATGATGTCAGATGTCCCCCGTGCTGAACCTCCCGAGTGTCCACACGTGAGACCGGGCAGGGACGACCGAACGCTTGCACACACACCAGCCGCTTCATGTGTATAGAGCCGATGCACCCCATGTCGCCGATTTGCTAATGCCACGAATCATTTTACAAGAACAGCAGCAAAGAAAGAAAAGTCTATAGTAAGAAGCGCCCTTTCATCACAAGCTTTGAAATCACGGTACCGTATGGAAAGGACAGTGTGTGCCTTAGAGCCCTGCACTACATTCAAACAAAAAAAAACCTCACGAATAAGAGGTGATGCCCTGTGAAAATAGAGCAAATATAGAATTAAAGACAGAAAGCAATAAATATGCATGAGTGACATCTAGAACATCAGAGAAGAGCTCGGGTTGAAAGGGGACCTCAGGAGAGGTCATCAAGCCCAACCTCCATCTGAAAGCTAGAAAAAAACCAGCACAAAACTGCCCCATGGAAAAACTTGTTAATAAAAATGAAGCCAACCTTTCTGGGAGAAAGAAAGTAGCTCACAGAATTGTCATCATCTTATAGTATTTCAAATACTTAGTTTCCCATTTCAAGAGCCATAAAAAATTCTCAGACTTCCATGGATGGTTGATCTCCTTTCAGTAATAAACATAATTATTCACAGTCTCCTGAGCTAGACTAAGCTAAGGAGGACGAGACCTGTCGTGAGTCCCTCCCGTTGGTCTTACCTGCCAACCTCCCTCATAACACATTAAATGTCAAGCTCAACATCTTTCTCCCAAGCCAACAAAGAGCTGAAATCCTTCTGAAATAGAAAATCATAGAGAAGAAAAAAAAAAAAAAAAATCTTAAATTCTCTATGCTGATAATACAGAATTGGTGAAAAGCCTTTTTTTTCTGGCTCGCTATTGTTGTTACTCATCAACCGCTGAGGACTCTCTTCTAGATGAGCTCACTGGAGCATTTAGGGACAAGGAGCGTGAGCATCTCCCAGGCATCACAGATGCAGCGGTGGGAAGGTGGGGAGGAACAGGAGGGAGAAAAGGGGAAGCCCTGATGTACAACAGGAGAGTAAAATTCAGAAAAATTACCTACAACTGCTCAGGAAAGGTGGTGGGTGGCTGGGCATGAGTCACCTACTTAGCACAAACTGTCCTTGAATAACAGACAGCTGGTTTGCTTTTAAATCTTTGTCCTTTCCTCCCTCTCTCAGCTAATTGAGCACCGCGTGTCTGACAGGAACAAATAAAAGCTCTGTATGTCAAGCCCCTGCCATCGACACCGGGGCTTGCAGAGACAGGCAGCGGACACGCGCTGCTTCCCCTCCTTTGCCATGGGGAACAGAAGTTCGGGCACATTAAGGAAGAACCCAGCTAACACTTCAGGTCATTGTCCCGTCGTAACTTTTCCTCTCAACATCTGTTCCCCACATCTGCCGCGGCAAAATTCCTCCTCCTAGGGGGAAGCTGGGGGTGGGGATGAACTGCTTGTGAACGCTCAATGGGGTCCTCTGAGGGACGGTACAAAAATCTGAGTTATCCCGTAGATCTCCGTGTCTCATAGATGTTATAGCTGTCCCGAGCTACGGCGTTAGGTTCTCATTCCCAGGCTGTGGGTTATTTGGATCCAACGTTTCAGACTAACCTTTTGTAGCAGAGAAGCCGGCTGTAAGACCCGGACCACATCTAAGTTTGTATTTTGGTCCTCTCTCTCTTTTTCAGAGTTTTGGGTCATAACCAAAACTCCGCAGATACTACCAAGAGTAAATGCCCCTAAAAATTAACTGCTTTCCCAGCAGCTGTTTGGTGCTAACAGGGTTTCAATGTTAAGTCTTGCTGAACTAAAGCCTTTTATTATATGCTTCTGTTAGCCTGCGTCTATGTTCCTTTCTGCACGTACAGTACAAATATAATTTTCAGACCTTTCCAACCATACTTTTGAACACCAAGCACAGCTTTAAAAAACACAAAAAATAATACTTCTCATTGCAAGGTAAGTTTGAAGTTTCCATGAATAGTTTTCATGTTTGCATGAACAGCAGCTGTGTATGTAAATGGTTTGAAAGAGCTAAAAGCTCTAAACTAATTAAGATTTTCCCATTGCAAATACAGATTTTAGGTTTGTTCTGCATTCTTTCCTTTGCAGAGAGGAAAAGGACCAGCTCAAGACTGAGCTTCTGGCCACAGAAAGTATTTACTGTTTCAACGGCCTTTCCATTCCAAAGGAATGACATCAGCACGAGCCCTTCGCAAACTTTTAGCCTAATTCTCAAGCGGAGCTCCATGCTCACAGATATGCCAGTCATAACATGACATGCTTTCTCAGAATTTGTTCCAGATTTACTGGGGCTGTGGCCGGCTTTAAGGCTAGGAAAGATCTTTTATCAGTCACGTACAGCACAACCTACAACCCGCAAGA